GAAGACAGTGAATAAGCCTTTCTTTTCAAAAGCGTTGCTGGGGCAAATAGAAATGAAAGGAGAATCCTCATCTTCTCTAAATTTATTGAATGCAAGTTATTATAATCTGGAACCTTAACTAATGATATTCATTTAGAATTTATTTATTTTATACAGTTTTATTGGTACATAATTCACATATCACACAATGCAATAGTTCAATCATATCAAGAAGAGTGGTACGATCATCACAATCAATTTTAGAACATTTTCTTCTTTCTTGTCCTCCTTGTGATTAGCTCTCCATTTCCCCCACCCTCCCTGCCACAGCCCTAGGAAACCCGTGATTCAGTTACCCCCTTTATAGATTTACCTATTCTGGATTACATATACAGAAAACATACAACAACCAGAACAATAGGAACAACAAAAAACCCCAAACCTAATAATAGCAAAGTAAAACAGAAAAATCTCAATTGTATCATTTAGAAATAATCTAATTGACCTGCTTGCCCAATAATTTTTAGTTTCTATGAAAATAGGTCCCAGCCCTATGCCTGTAATTATTCTATCTATACACACACACTCGCAACCAATAATGACTAAGAAGTATGGAGTCTTTACCACAAACCAGACAGACATAGTTCTAATACATTCATTATCTCAACCAATTCTCCATACACTGCTCTGATCTAAATGATTTAATTACCTCCACTTGAAAATGAAATCTGAAAGTCCCCCAACAAATTAAACCATATGACCCAGAAATTCCACCCATAGGTTTATAGAACTAAAACCGGTGTGGAAACAAAAACTTGTATACAAATGTTTATAGCAGTTTTATTCACAATAGCCCCAATATAGAAACAACCCAGGTTCCATCAACAGAGGAATTCAAAAGCAACCTGGTATATGTATACAATGGAAAATCATTCAGTAGTAAATAGAAATGAAGTATTGATACAGGCTTCAGTTTCCTTCACTTAGCATAATCTTGAAAACATGCCAAGTGAAAGAAACTTGATTCAAAAGACCACATAGATAGTGTGACACCCAGAATAGACAATTCCACGGAGGCAGAAAGTAGATGAGTGGTTGCCAGGGGGCAGAGGGAGGGGGAAATGTTTAATGTGACTGTGTAATGAATACAGAGTTTATTTGGGGAATGATTAAACACATTCTGGAGTGAGGGGAAAGGGAAAGGATGTAGATAAGAAATGTTTAGAAACTGACTGTGGTAGCAAATGTACAATTCTGCTGGACATGATTGAACTGTGGACTGACAAGCTAAATGTATCTATTCCCAACTAATAGTAACAATAATACTAAGCACACTCTGGAGCTAGTAGTGGTGAGGGCTGTAAAACATTGTAAGTGTACTCGATGCCATTGACCTGTATACATTAAGATGGTAAATATTATTCTACGTAAGTTGTTCTGGTGGCATAGAGAGTTATGTGTTAGGCTGCTAATCAATCACAAGGTCAATAGTTTGAAGCCACCAGTCTCCCATGGGAGAAAGGTGAGGCTTTGTGCTCCTGTAAAGATTTACAGCCTTGGAGATCCACAAGGTCAGCTCCACTCTGTCCTGCAGGGTCGCTACGAGCTGGAACGGACTTGACGGCAGTGAATGATGTTATGTAGAATTTGTTTAAAAAAGTCATGTAGGGCTCAGAGATGGGTGATAGGTGGTGGGGTTCCCTGGCTCATGCTTTTAATGACAACACCGTATGGATTCCTCCAGACAACAGGTCCAAAATCACCAAAACCACAAACCCGCTACCATTGTGTAAGTCTGACTCTTCTTGATCCTGTGGCATAAAGTAGCATTACCCCATGGGCTGCCAAGCCTGCCAACCTTTACAGAGGCTCATGTTTTCAAGGTGCATTCACATTGGAGCAGGTTTGAGGATTTCATTTCTCTTTGTGGCTGAACAGGATTCCATTTTGACCTGAGACTCCCCACTGGGGTCGTAAATAAGACTAAGGTATGGCCGCTCCCCAGATCTTTCTCTTGCCAAAGATTATGCTCTTGACTTCTGATAATTATGGCACTCAAGTTCACTGTCATCGAGTCAATGCCAACACACAGCGACCCTATTGAGCAGGACAGAACTGCCCCTGTGGGTTTCCAAGACTGTAACTTCTTTATGGTAGTAGAAAGCCTCCTTTTTCTCCCACAGAGCAGCTGGTGGTTTCATACTGCTGACCTTGGGGTTAGCAGTCCAACACCTAACCCACTACGCCATCAGCGCTCCCACCATGCCACTACTCACCTCTTTACCAAGTTAGAGCAGCACTGTTGTTGAAGCAAGACAGAGGGAGAAGTCAGTGAATGGGATTCAGTTGAGATGAAAGCTAGGGATGAAGGGATTTTAATTAAGGGGTCAGTTGGGAGTTCAAGCGAACTGGGGACTTCGCTCCTTCTTGACTTTACTTTTTATTTCATGGGATCTTTCTCATCTTTCTCAGGAGTAAGTGAGATTTTTGTGGAGCTGTGCTTTGAAATGCTAATGAATGAAATGGTGCTCTGCATGCATACATTATCAGTTGGACTCTCACCTCACTCCTCAAACAGAACCTCCAGCTGTGGCAGATTCCCCTGGGGACAGCAGGGTGACAAGATGTGTTACTGAATACAAAGCCTCCTTGAAGACCTTTGGCTGCACAGGGGAGGGAAGAAGTATTACCATGATGGAACATTAGCCTTAGCATTGGACACAGGTCTGATAGATGTGGCTCTATGATCATTTTTAACTAAAATAGTAACACGTACTTAAAAAGTCTAATATACAGAAATGAACTTCCTGTAAAACTAACAAAGCCTTAGTTCCGAGGCCTCTCACACTCTTTCCAAAGTCCTGTCTCTACTTTTGTAATACAAGATATTTTTGTAACTCTAATATTATATATGTGTGTACATGAATATATACATGTATGTGTGTATATACATGTATCTGTACATATACACAAACACATTACCCTTTTGTTTTTCTTCAAATAGCACTTCCCACATATTTAAGCATCTGGTTCCATAAGCCTGGATTCACTGCTGCATAAAACCCCAAACCTACTGCTACTTAGTGGATTCTAACTCATTGTGACCCGAGAGGACAGAGTAGAATTGCCTTATAGTGTCCAAGGCTGTCTGTCATCTTTTATGGAGGCAGCTCTGGTCACTCAGTGGTTAAAATGCTCAGCTGCTAACCAAGAGGTTGAGATGCTAACCTCTCAGCCTCTCTGGGAGAAAGCTGCGGCAGGCTGCAGCTCTCCTCTCCCCTCTGGAGTCATTATGATTCAGAACGCCTTCGGAGGCAATGGCTTTAGGTTTGGGGTTGACTCTGTTCCAGGTTCAAGCCCCTTCAAACCAACCAACCAACCTGTTTTGTCATTGAACTAATTCTGAATCAGAGCAGAGTAGAGCTACTTCCTCTTTCTTCTTTAGAGTAGCTGGTGAGTTCAAACCATTGACCTTTCAGTCAGCTGAGGGAGAACTTAACCACTGCACCAGCTAGCCTCCTTCCTCCTTCCGCATGGAGGCAAAACCCCAGCAAAATGTTACCTGGCAGAGACATAACCCTGTGTAGTTCTCCAATTTTTCATTCCCTTATGCTTATCAGTACATGCCTATTTCCAAATGTGGGTTGTACCCTATGACTGTACTGATTTCTCTGTCACGCCCTTTTTTGTTTTGGCCACACACTTTATTGAGTGATTTAAGTTGTTCAACCAGAAATAAAACAAAACAAAAAGGAGAAAGACCTTCCAGAGAGCACAGTGCCGTAGGAAGAGGGAAGTGCATGTAGGTAGGCTGACTGATTTTGTATGTGCTGGCTCAGTACCCTGTACATCTGCCTGGTTTCACCTAGCTCAACTCTCATTACACAGCTGTGTATGTCCATTTTACTTGACATCTGTCTCCTCTCCTAGATTGTAAACACTTTGTGATAGGGATCATGACCCGATACCAAATATTTCCATCAATATTTGTTGACTAAATGCTTGAGTGGTTGAATGTTGAGAATTGAACTCCAAGGAATGCTGGGGAAAAGATTCATGGGTGTGAAAATTAATAGAAGACTGGACAGGAGCTGAGGGTGCCAGAGAGTTGAGGGCAAGATGTGTGATAGCAAGGATGCTGACGATGAACCTGGAGAACCAGGAAGGGATGGTCTTCTAACTCACGCCTGGTACAAATGGAAACTTGTAGTGTTTCAGAAAGAGCACTGATAAGTAACAAAAGGAGTCTTGGGTTTGAATCTTGAGAAAGTCAGGGGGTTGGCTTCCTCATCCCTAAGTGGGAATAGCATTCCCTATCTCCTGGAATTACTGTGGGGTCTCATGAGTCAATGGAGGTGAAAGTCCCCAGCATAGTGTCTGGCACACAATAGATGCCCAATTCATATTTTATTCTGAATCAGGAACCAGAGGCCTATGCTTGGACTGGAAGTAGCATCCAGATGAAACGAAGATTGGAACTGAGACTGCTCACCTCAGCTAGACAAAGTGTGCATGATTTGGACTTTGACATCAGTGACCTCTTGGGAAACCCATCTTACTGTAACAGTTGAGTGAGAGACGGTGGCAGATGTAGGAAAGGGTATAAGAAGTAGAATTGCCATTTCTAAGTTCTAGTCCGTCAATTTGTGTGGTAGCAATAGAAGAGAGCAGAAGTGACTCTTGGAAGCCTTGTCTCTCTCTCTCATTTAGGGAGACTATAGATAGTACTTTGTTACAATGATATAATTTGGGGTTAACCAAAACTAAACTCACTGCCATCAAGTCAATGCTGACTCATAGTGACGATATAGGACCGAGTAGAACTGCCCCTGTGAGTTTCCCAGTCTGTAACTCTCCACGGGGGTAGACAGCCTCATGGATGATAGAAATGCTTGGGTACCAGAGACTACATTGATCTTTCCAAGGTGCATTCTAAGAGCACCTGCCTTGGAAACCAGTTATGTCCATGGTCAAAGGCTGGAGAGTCACATGTGTTGCCCTGACATTTCTGTCTCTCTCAGGTGGAGAGAAGATCTAATCCTCTAAGCCATGGCCGGTGCTCATGATTTGGAGATGGAGAGCATGAATCTAAATATGGAGAGGGACCCGAAAGAAGAACTGGAGGAAGAAAAGAAAAGGAGAGAGGAGGAGGGAGGTAAGGCTCTCTCCAAAGATAAAAAGGTCCACAGGATTGTCTCCAAATGGATGCTTCCTGAACAGGTCCGAAGATCATACTTGGATCGAGCCAACTGCTGTCCACCCCCTGTGTTCATCATCTCCATCAGCCTTGTCGAGGTAAATGTATTGGGCGGTGGGCACTAGCTTAAACGCCTGGGCAGGTACAAACACACCCTGACGTTAGACTGAGAGCTAGGGAAGACACTGCAAAGCTGTTGAGAAGACAGCTTGTGGTGTCCCGGTACAGCAGACACAGAACCTTGTGTCCCGTTTTTCTTAGGCTCCCCATTGCTTGCAACTAAGAGTAGGGTTTCATTTTTCTTTCTTTAAAATGTTTTAATCATTTTATTGGGAGCTTTTACAGATATCATAACATTCCACAGTTCAGTCACATCAAGCAGTATGGTACAATTCAAGGAGTTCAAGAAGAAAGAAAATGTTTTGAAACGGAGTTTCATTTTTTCTAATAAATCCTTTGGCCAGCAATGACTTCACCTTCAGTGGTTTTGTTTCATTTCAACAGATGGGAGGCTTAGAGATCAACGAATCTTGGGCTTGCAAATTAGCTTGGGCTCATGAGCCAACGTTTATTGATTGGCAAAGCCCGTTGGAGCCATAGGTTTAGAAGAAGATAGCTGGACACACTGGCTGCAACTATGGGCTCAACTCCAGCAGGGGATGTGAGGATGGAGCAGGACGGGGCAGTGCTCTGTTCGGTTGAACACAGGGTGGCTGACGTCAGGGGCACCTAGCAACAGCCGCCTCTGGACGTCACTAGGAAAGAAAGATCTAAGCTCTTCTCTGAGCAAGTGTGTTTTCAGACCCTGACCTCATGAGCCTCCCTTTGGATCCCAGAGAGAGCCGAAGGCCCCAAGAAGTGGAGTGACTCACTCTAGGCCACCGAGTGAGTGACTGGGCTTCTCAGGAGCCTTATCACACCTAGCCTTTTCTCTCTCACCATGATGCCTCATAAAGGAATAGGCAGAGCATGGCTGCCCTGGGAGTAGGACTTCCGGGCATTACACCAAACCCGTGGCCCAGTCCCTGACAAGGACATCAAGCGTGGTGAAGTGGGAGGTCTGGTAAGAGGGGGAAGACCCTCGCTGAGGTGGATGGACGCCGTAGCTGCAACCAAGGGTGCAGACATAGCAGCGGTGAGGACGGCGCAGGGCCGGCCAGTGCGCGGTTTTGTTGTGCCCGGAGTTGCTATGACCTGAAACAAGTCCACAGCCCCTCACGAGCACAATGACGACATGCTGTCGAGTGGATTCAGACTCATGGTGGCCTCATGCGTTCCAGAGTAGAACGGCTCCGGAGGGCTTTCTTGTCCGCAATATTAACAGAAGCAGAGCACCGAGTCTTTAGTAATATATGTGGAATCGATCACAATGATCTACCTATAACCCCCTCCCTGGGGGATGGACAACAGAAAAGTGGGTGAAGGGAGACATTGGTCAGTGTAAGACATGAAAGAATAATCATAATTCATAAATTATCAAGGATTCGTGAGGGGAGGGTGGGGGAGGGAGGGAGGAGAGAAAATGAGGAGCTGATAGCAAGGGTTCAAGTAGAAAGAAAATGTTTTGAACAGGATGATGGCAACAAACGTACAAATGTGCTTGACACAATGGATGCATGTATGGATTGTGATAAGAGCTGTAAGAACCCCCAATAAGCTGATTAAAAAAAATATATATATATCTATGATATGGATGACCTCTCACCTCCTGACTTGACCGGCGCAGAGGAGGATCACCAGCACAGGCCTCAGCTGCCCAGGCCGAGTCACCTGAGGCTGAGATCGCAGACCGGCTCTGACAGCAATGGTCTTCCCACCGAGCTCCCGACTCTTCAGCTGAGTTCAATACAGCCTGTGGCAGCCACGCAGAATCACAGACCATGCTCGTGATTATGGAGTTTATGAGATAAACGAACAGGTCGCAATTGAGGGGAGAAATGCTCAGGATACAGTCGGTCCCTCAGCACAGCCTCTTCTCTGCTGTGTCCTCAGGCAGGCCTCTCCCTGGCTCCCCCCATAGTTCAATCACATCGAGCAGTATTGCACTGGCCCTGCCTTCTGCCCCCCTCTGACAATGTAATAAAGCTCTTCTAGGGCTGCCAACAAATGCCCAACGAGCGTGCCACTTCACCATAAGCTAAGGTGAGCAGATTTTAACGTTGGTAAAGCGGGACAAAAGCGGGACACCATTGATAAAACTCATATCCTGGCGAAATAGCCACATGGCAGCCGAAAACCGTCTACCCTAGCTTGTCGTGCATGCTTTCCAAAAATTCGGACTTTTTTAAAACGCCGCGGGATGCGGGAAAAATTGTTAAAAATCAGGCCTGTCCCACCAAAAGCAGGACGTCTGGTCACCTTACCATAAGCCTCTGCCCGAAGGCCCTCTGTGCTAGCTCTAGAGGCCGTCACATTTAGCTTCCCTAACGAAGTGCTGGGGCACCCTATTCTACAAGCCAGCCCCCTGCCTTCCGGCACTCAGCTTTACTTGCTCTGTGGGTCTTATGCTCTTGCTGCTGCCACCCTGTGTCACGTCTCTGAGGTGACGGCTGTGACCTGGATCAAGGAGGTTCAATGCACAGGGACATTGGGATCCAAAGGACTCGCCCCATTCCCATTCCATATCTCTTGCCAGTAGTGAGATCTCCTGCTGCCCCACCCCTGCTCCCATCCTTATCCCTACCCCCATCCCTCTTCTGAACTAGAGGGCACTCACCATGAACCCTGCGAATGATCACTCACAGCTGAAGCATAATGCTATGAGCTCCCCTACCTTCTCTTACCCAGACCCATCAGGAAAAAGTTGGTGGGAGTTACAAAGATTATGGCTAGAAGAGTGATAGTTAAGGTTTATTGTGCCATCCTGGCAGATAAAAACATGTGGGATTAATTGAAGGGTGGAGAGATAAATGGCTCGGTGAGCCTCACCTTTCTAGTTCTCGGGTCTCTTGCTTTCTGATGGTCAGACCAGGGTGCAGCTGCCTTAGCCAGTTCCCTGCTTCAACTGGCAAGGCTCACTTCCTGCAAGACATCCCTGAGGAGAAGCCACATGGTCCTACCCCGATGCTGCCCTGGGTGCTGGAGCAGCAGTATGGAGACCCCTGCCAGTGCTGAGATACTTACACATTCACTGACCTGCTTTCCTCCTGTAGTCAGCATCATTGCGTGTGTTCTGTGAGATGGAGGAAGACTTTGTGGATTGGTGTCAGACATATGGGTTAATGTTGGACTTATGGGCTTGGACAGCACTGGGTTGGGATGCTTTCTTAATGTGCACTTAGCTTTTCTATGAAACTCTCTCTTATACGTATGAGTGTCTGTGGGTTTGTTTCTCCAGTTTGCCCAGACTAGATTCCCAGCACAGCTTCTTTTTCCTGTGGTGACTCTGAGTGGGTTTCAGCTGCCTGCCCTTTGGCCCGGGGCTGAGTGCCAACTCTTTGTGCCACCAAGCAACCTTTCAGGGACATTCCCCAAATCACCAAGCCTACCACCACTGCTTGATGCTGCCCCATAGTGACTCTGTAGGGCAGAGTAGAACTGGCCCTTGTGTGGATCTTTGTGGGGGCAGGAAGCTTCATCTTTCTCTCATGGAGTGGCTGGTGGGTTCAAATGGCCAGCCTTCGGGTCAGCTGCACAGTGTGTAATACCCTACACCACCAGGTGAGGAAGACCTTTATGTGGTCTTTCTAATTCCTCCCGGTGCCCCCACCTCCTTACCAGGGAGCTAGCCTCGGGCGGCTCAGATGAGGATAAGCATACTCAGATAAGCATCTGCTCTGGATCTGTATCTGGATTCCTTGTACCTGTTATCCTTCCAGAATTTGCTCTCGTTGCTACCTGCCTTGTCTGCGCAGCTTATCTTTTCACACCAGTCATGGCAGGCTGTGCATGGACCAGCCCGCCAGGGGCCAGTCACTGAGGGGGAGACAGTGTTGAAGGGGCACGGGCTGTACTCACACTGCACAGGATCGACTAGCCCAGACCTGAGTACCACAGAGGAAGCAGTTTTCCTGGAAGGGTTGTGAGCGGGTGCTCACAAAAAATTTTTTTTTGCTTTGAATTAATGTATTATTTACAGGAAAGCTGCAAAATGAGTATGGAGAGTTTCTATATCCCCTTCACTCCATTTCTCCAGTTGACAATATCATGTTTCCCTGTTACATTTGCTGTGGCCAGTCTGGGCTCGTCTGATCCCTTTCTCAGGATGACATTGGGGCAGGGGGTTGGGGAAAGAGATCAGAGGCCTTCAAGTCCCATCATGCTGGGGGACATGACTCCCACATGACAGCTCTGGTGACACCAACCTTCCTCATTGGGTTAATGCAATGTAGCATCTGCCAAGTTTCTTCTCCGTGATGTAACAATCTCCCTTTCCGCACTCTGTTCTTTTTTTTTTTTTAATCATTTTCTTGGGGGCTCGTACAATTCTTATCACAATCCATCCATCCATCCATTGTGTCAAGCACACATGTACATTTGTTGCCCTCATCACTCTCAAAACACTTGCCTTCTACTCGCACTGTGTTCTTTTGAAGTGAGCACTGACTTCATTTTATGCCGCTCTGTCAAGGAAAAAGCCCGTGTTGGGGGTGGGAAGATGAGGGCAGTGGCTACTTCAGGGGTGCCAAGGCAGACAGAGAACACAGTGCTGAGAGCAGGGTGTGCAAGAGTCGGGGAAAGGATTCAGAACAGAGAGTCCCCTTGACACTTTGGCTCCTAAGTGTGGGCGGAAGTAGGACAGGAGCGCAGTGAGGGCTGCTGGGAAAATCTCTGTCATCTTCCAGGCACATGATATGGAGTGACCCACTTGAGAGTTACCGTCCATGGGTTTATTTGAGGTAGCGCCTGGAGAAAGCGAGGTCTCCAGGTAGCACACAGGGTTTGCACTTGTCTACTGACCAAAAGGTTGCTAGTCTGACCACCCAGTGGCATCATGGAAGAAAGATCTGGAAATCTGCTTCTGTATAGACGACAGCCAAGAACACCCAGCAGGCTCAGTTCCACCCTCTGATGCACAGGGTCAGTTCCACTCTGAACTCAAGGTCTGATGGCAATCAGGCCCTCCCCATCCCACCCCCACCTCCGCCCCAGGAGAAGGGGGGTTAACGCTTCTGTCTGCCCCTCCCACCAGCTGGCCGTGTTTATTTACTATGCTGTGTGGAAGCCTCAGAAGCAGTGGATCACCTTGGACTCCGGCATCCTGGAGAGCCCCTTTATCTACTCTCCCGACAAGAGGGAAGAAGCGTGGAGGTTTATCTCGTACATGCTGGTGCACGCTGGGTAAGGAGTGACCGTTAAGTCGCTGATGTCAGTAGAAACGCTACGTTGTTAGAACCCCTGCTGTTTGCTCAGTGCTTTGTTGTGGACCAGCTTGGTCATGCCCACAATCCCACTTCATCCTCACTGCTCCCCTAGGACGCAGGCATTACTTCGGCCATCGTGTACCAGAGGTTTAGGGGTTGGTCCAAGTCACACATCTAAGACGTCGAGCTAGAACCTGAGCCTACGGGACTGACCCAGCCTATGTCCAGAGTCCTTTACCTTCATCATCATTGCCTGATAGTAGTGTACATAGGAACATGAATGAGAAGGGGCCAAACCAGTACAAAACCAAAACTATGTTTCCCAAGTTTTTGATGCTAAGTATACCCTAGAAGTCTCTGAAAGCGCAAATTGCTCATGTACTTGGCTGCTAATTAAAGAGGTTGGAAGTTCACAGCTACTCAGAGTGACCTCCAAAGAAAGGCCTAGCAATCTTGCCCCCAGACCAATCATTGAAAACACTATAGGAGCCTTCACCCAATTCACTATTGCAAGTTGAACAAGTACAAAGTGAAGGAGCTCATCAGAAAGAACAGATAAAACATGACAGAGCATCTAGGATCACCGTGAGTTGAGGTGATTCCATGCATGGCAGCCACTGTTTAAATGTGTGTCTAGGTCATTGGTTCCCAAGCTTTTCAGGGGAAAAACAATTGCCCTGAGCCCCCCGGCAGTGTTGTGCTGTAACATGTAATCCAGGCGCAAGTCCAGGGTTCTGCTTTTGCAGCCCCTCTGGGTCATTCCAGGTGCTCTAGTGGTATAGTAGTTTCGCACTGGGCTGCAATCTGTGAGGTTTGCAGTTTGAAACCTTAGAGACAGAGCTTGTACTCCTGTCCAGCCTTACAGCCTCGGGAACTCACAGGGGCCTCCTGTCCTAGAGTCCCTATGAGCCATGACACCGTGGTAGTGAGTTGGATCCTTCCAGTGCCCTCCAGGGGGCAGTATCGCACCCTGTGGGAAACACTGCTCTAGGTAAGGAGATAGCGGAACTCCCTAGGCTCCCTCACCCCAGCCTTTCAAAAATTATTATATGAACAGCTTGATGGGAGTGTAGTATGTTATGCACCTGGATTAATACAGAAAATAGGAGAGCAGGGTCTTTTAGTTTGCTTAGTTTCTTAAATGTTAGTAGCTTCTCATGACATACCTTGACATTTTGGATCCACCATGCCCCCTGAAGGTGGTTAGGCGCTTGCTTCTGG